GTGTCCCCCCACCAAAAAAACCAACCCAAGCCTCTTCCTCCCAGCTGAGACCCCCCCCCCCCAACTCTGTCAATCACACGGCTTTCTTTCCGATAACGCGGGACTGGAAGGGACCCGCGCGCCCTCGGTCTCTCTACACACCCGAGGGAAAACTCTTTCCCGCCGCCCCCCCCCCCCCCCCCCCCCCCCTCCCCCCCCCCCCAGTAAGAAAAACACCCCCCATTCCTTCCCCTCTCTCCCCCCCCCCTCAGCCCTATTCGGCGCTCCCCTTTCTCCCGCGCTACCTCAAGTCGTCGACGCCGCCACCTCCTTCTTCTCCAACTCACAGGGCCGGGCCGGGCCTGGGTGGGGGAGGAGAGCGCGGCTCCCTCAGGTGGCCACTGACAGGAGGAGGAGGAGGAGGAGGAGGAGGACGCGGACGACTACGGGGGATGCCGTGGAGGGGAGGGGTCACGAGTGGAGTACGCACGCGCGAGGGGGGGAAAGCCGCGAGAAGGGGGAGCGTTCAAGACGGTAGGGGAAAAAAAAGGCGGGCGAGCCGCTTTCGTCTCGCGCCGAGCGACGCCCCGCCCCATCCCCCCTTCAGCGATCTCCTCAAGCGCTTCCCTTCGTTGGCTGCCAAACATCTGCGCACGCGCGGAGGCAGTGGACCGCCGGCACCTCTTTCTTTTTTTCCTTCCTCCTCCTCTTCTTCCTCGTCCTCGTCGTCGTCTTCCGCGCTCCCATTTTAAAGCCACGCCTCTTCAGAGGTTCGCTGCCCTCTTGGGGGCCACGCCTCTTCCTCCGCTGTCCTTGTGGGGAGACGCCTCCCCTCACGTCTCTTGAGGGCGCTCCGTCCGTCAAAACGCCTCCTTCCGTCTGAAACGCTCCTTCTACGTCAGCCGCCCACCGATCAAGCCACGCCCTCTGTCTCAGAGTTCGCCCTTTCCTGGGCCACGCCCATCCTCTCCTTCTGAGCGCCGCCTCCGCAACCGAGCGCCTCCATTTTCTGGTACAAGCAACGCCCGCTTGGCTCGCCTTCACTTTGATTCGCCAACTTGGTTGACAACCAAAGTTATTCCACCAATGAAAAGTTCCAGACGGCGACGAGGGGCCAATGAAAGGTAGCAGTAGCTATGGGCGAATAGGCGGCAATATCAATCCAATAATAAATAAATTAACAGACGAGATATCAGAGCTTCGCCATGGATTGCTATAATCTGAATTCACACCTTATTTCATTTTACCTCCCCTCCTTTGCCGTGTCATTCATTTCCACTAAAAGAAAACTATTCTTCCTTAAAACTATAACAAACAAACAAAAAACTCCAAATGAACTTTTCAAACGGGAAGGGAAAAATATAATTACCTCCAGTATAATACTTGCTTAAATTGAAGTGTCAAAAAGTGACATGTTGGAGGGGTTCATTTCATACTATTGGGACTGACTGTAAAAGATCTGTGTGCAAAAATAGTAATTTCCATCATAACTAAAATCATCTTATACAGGTAGTCCTCAACCTGCAACAGGTCATTTAATGACCAAAGTTACAGTAGCACCAAAAAGTGACTTATGACCATTTTTCACACTTACGACTGTTGGTCATGTGATTTACATTTGGATACTTGTCAGCTAACTCACATTTATGACTGTTGCAGTGTCCTGGAGTCATGATTCCCTTTTGCAAAATCTTCTGACAAGGAAAGTCAATGGGGAAGCCAGATTCATTTAACAACCTTGTTACTAATGTAAGAATTGCAGTGATTCCCTTAACAAAGATGAGAAAATGTGGCAAAACTCAATTAACAAATTTCTCACTTAGCAACAAATTTTAGCTCAATTGTGATCATAAGTTGAGGACTATCAGTATTCTCAAAATTGGAAGAAACTGATGAGAATTTGAAGCCAAAGAATTCCTGCTGAATTGTGGTGACAGAAAGATGTTTGGTCATAAAAAGAGATCAAACCGCTATAGCTTTATGCCATAGTTACTACAAAATTTACTCTCCAGGATGAAAGTACCAGACTTCTCCATGCATTTCTGGAAAATGAGCAGGCAGCTGGCATTCTATGAAAGAATCTGAGTTTATCAACACTGCAATGGTGGGTGAATATTTATGGAGACAAAGCAGCAACAAGAATAGAGAAAGAAGCCCAAAATCACAAGTTCCTTGTGCACCTTGTATCCTTTAAGTTCCCAACTGAAAATGGGAATAAGATTTTAAGGAAAACATAAACTTACTCACCCGAAAAGCTGCTGCTGTTCCCATAAAAAATTGGATAACAAAAGCCAAAAAACCCTATTACTGTATTCAAAGGAAATTTAAGTTGACCCATAAAGGGAAATTATTTGAGGAAGAAAAACTAGTCCTCCTTTCAGAACATAGTGTCTACTTCAGGTGAGCCTCACTTAATGACTGGTTGCTTAGTAACTGTTTGAAGTTATGATAGACCCACAAAAAAGATTAGGAAACACCCCCCCCCCAAAGGATTGAATTTCTGATTTCTGCCCTCCCCAGAAAATGATTGTGATTGCGTTGTGGGCATTTGGCAACTAGTCCGCTGCTTACAGCCACTTGCAGCATGCCAAAGTCACATGACTGCAATTTATTGGAGGGGGGGGGTTCCTGTAACCTTGTGTTTATTTTCAGTTTCCAGCAAAAAAAAAAGTAAAGTAAAGTTGGGTCAATTATGTGACCAGCAAGATTTGCAACTGTAATTGCAGGCTGAAGTATGGGTGTAACTTGGTCAAGTGTTGGCATGAGATAATGGGAGCTGCACATCTGGGAGTACAAGGTTAGATAAGCCCAATCAAAATCATCGCCAGTAGTGGAAATCCAATTTTTTTCCTACCAAGTTCACACATGCTCAAAAACCTCCCTGTGTTAGTGCTGGTAAGCTGAGCTGTTTTTTAGCTCAGGTGGGGTGAGGCAATCCGCTCTTAAGTGATGGTGCTCCCACAACTTCAGAGGGCAAGGTATTCCATGGGTTGATTGTTTCTCCTTATTTCCAGGTTAAATCTCTCCTTGTTCAGTTTCCATCCATTATTCCTTGTCTGGCCTACAGGCGCTTTAGAAAACAGCTTGACCCCCTCCTCTCTGTGGCAGCCCCTCAAGTATTGGAAGACTGCTGTCATGTCTCTCCTGGTCCTTCTCTTCACTAGACTAGCCAAGCCCAGCTCCTGTAACCGTTCTTCGTATGTTTTAAGTCTCCAGTCTTCCTGGTTGCTCTTCTCTGTACTTTTTCTAGAGTCTGAACATCTTTTTTATAATGTGGTGAGCAAAACTGGATGCAGTACTCTAGGTGTGGTCTTACTAAGGCTTTATAGAGTAGTATTAGTGCTTCCCCTGATCTTGATTGTATCCCTCTGTTAACACAATTTAGGATTGCATTAGCCTTTTTTGGCTGCTGCTGCACACGGCTGGCTCATATTTAGCTGGTTGTCCACTAAGACTCCAAGATCCCTCTCAAAGTTACTGCTATTGAACCTGATTTCAACCAGTGCACTTTTGATTTTTCTTGCCTAAGTGTAGGACTTTTCTCTACATTGAATTTCATTTTTTTAGATACGGCCCAGTGTTCTAGTCTGTCAAGATCCATCTGGATCTTGAGCTCTGCCGTGCAAATCAGCTGAGCTAAAAAACAAGGATAGGAAAGGGCGGGGCCGGCCAGAGGTGGTTTTTTGCCAGTTCTCCAAACTACTCAAAATTTCTGCAACCGGTACACCAGAACCGGTCTGAATTGGTTGAATAGCACCTCTGATCATCTCCCATTGCAACCTCTTACATGATACAATATAGCAATAGCACTTCGCCTTATACACCACTTTCACAGTACTTTATAGCCCTCTCTAAGCAGTTTACATAACCAGCATATTGCCAACAATATAGATTACCCAAACAAGCTGTATTTTTTCAGACTTATTAAGATCTAGATCAATCTTGGCAATTTTAAGACCTATGGACTTCGACTCTTAACAATTCCCCAGCCAGCCAACCATGCTGGCTGAGGAATTCTGGGAGTTGAAGTCCACAAGCCTTAAGCCCTGGACTAGATTTTTTTCCAGTGATGGTACACGTAGTCCTTGACTTACAACAGTTCACTTAGTGACCACTCAAAATTATAATGGCAGTGAAAAAAGTGACTTATGACCATTTTTCATACTTATTTTTTGCAGCATCCCCATGGTCACATGATTAAAATTCAGGTGCTTGGCAACCGACTCCTATTTATGACAGTTGCAGTGTCCCGGGGTCACGTGATCACCTTTTGTGACCTTCTGACAAGGAAAGTCAGTGGGAAAGCTGGATTCACTTAAACAACTGTAATTTGGGAATACTTTTTTTTTTCAACCACTTAAATATCAGGCCAAGTGATAAGGGAAAAAAAAACCCAAAAGCAAACTATGGGCACAAGATTAAGATTTTAGACCTATTCTAATTAGGGGTACATTTTTTTTCTTTCTTTCTCCTCCTCTTCTTTTGCATACCTGTACAACTAGATTGTAAAAATATTTTAAAGATGAAGTTCTACATAGCTCTTGCCTCTAGTGGCCTATATACAACTCTGGGTAGAATTGAAGATATGCTTCCCACAGATATTTTCTCACCCGGGATTAGGAAGAAAATTGAGCCTGAAAACAAGACAAAAACTCTACTTCTACTGTACATTTTTTTTTTAATGTTTACACATTGTTGTTAAGAAAGATTAAACACTTTTTGGAAAAAAGGCTAAAAGACAAAAACTGTACAAATTTACTAAAACACATTTTAAGTACATAAAAAGAACTGTTTCATAAAGAGTGTTAATGAACAGCTGCAGGTGTCTCAGAAGTGTGAACAGCAAGAACTCACACACGCGTTGGCAGACTCCACATTTCAACTGTGCAAAATCACAAGTTCAGTGATCTAAATCGCCCACCCTCTATGAGCTAAAATGCAGATTTCCAAGAAGATGGGACAGTGTATATCAAGGGGTATATTCTTTGGGAAGGGGCTGAGAAGGAAATGAGGTATGTGTATTTTAACAAAGACAGCCTGCCTTAGCATCCTGAAAGCTAGATTCAATCTATTGGGGCTATTTCAGATCAGGCCTCTTAGGTCCGCCCAGGTTTGTTAGTAAGGACGCACGTCTTGCGTCTTTACGGTAAGAAACATTTTTTTACTTTTTGGTTTATGCAGAAAAGGAAGTCTTTTCTAAATACGAATTTTGATTGCGTATGCATTAGTAATTCTTTTCTAGAGGCTGAACACTGCTTAGGAAGCGGGGTGGGTGGGGGGAGAATCTGTTAATTGGAAAATATATAGCTTCTGTCCCTCAACTATACATGGAGAAGAGAGCCTAGGAATATGGATAACAGACATCCCTGAATTACGAACTGGAGGAATAAATCAATTTTCACCCCAGACTTGTTTAAAAAAAACAAACAAACTTCTAGCCTTCTGACTTATTTACATCTAGTTTAAAGATGCCGTGGGAAAATTGGGAGAGTCAACTCAATTAAAAAGGTAAATCACTGTACGGATCCAACTGCTTCCCGACCACCTTCCCTACCAACCCAAGCCTATATTTTTGGCACTCCAGAGGGTTTTTAAAAAAAATCCTAAATAGAAGTGAGAGGGGCCCTTTGCAGGGTGTTTTTTTTTTTTTAAAGATCCCAAACATGGAGCAAATCACACACAATGTATTTCTTCGGGAATAAGTAAACGTTCAGTCTATGAAATAATAAGCATTTGTTGCTATTTTCTGAAGGAAAGGGAAAAGGAAAAAGAGGGAGGGCAGGATTCCTTTTTTGCCAGGATCTGTTAAGGAATGTTATAAACAGACCTACATTCCAAATAATAGACAACATTAAAGTTTAAGAATACCAGCTCTTCCTCTTTCAGTTCTTTTAGTTGCTACCTATTTAGTTACTATTATCCTGAACTTTTCTTCCCCTATTTCTTTCCCGGCATATTGAAAACACCTTTGCTTTTTACACATCAACCTACTTCAGAAAGGAACTGGATTGCATTATTCCTGAAAATATCAAGAGTGCATGATTAGGGGATATTGGTTATAGCTTTTGGATGGTAAAATAATGTTAAAAAATCCATAATTAATAATTCATTGAACTAGTAACAAAATAAACTATCTCCTTTTAAAATTGATCCACCACACACCACACTAAAGCAGGGTTGTGTCCCTGCCTTCAAATAATATAATTTTAAAAAGTAATTGGAAAAGCTGGATTCTAGTGTAATATGATTTATGCAGTTACTTGCATAATGGTTTTGCATAATCATTCCAAATTAGGTACTTTGCATAATATATAATTTTGCTAACGACGGGAAGGCTAAGGGCACAGAATTCCTACCCCAATCATTGGAAAACTTGTTTAAGCTTCCCATTTTGAGTCGGGGATATGGGAAGTTATCTCCCATATCCTTTCAAAGGTATCTTTGCATCTATTAGAGGCTAAAAGATTAAAAGATCCTGAATGCCGAGATTCTCAGAAGCTGAATTCTGCACCAGATACAACTCTCTACATTCTAATTAAAAGTCTTGGAAGACCTGGCTACAGCCTAATCTCAAACAAACCACATAATTCCAGATCTGGCCAGCTGTTTTTCCAAGCCGCCATTTGTCCTTATTTCAGATCCAAGAGTTGAAAAGAGGTGAAGTCAAGTTGCTTTCCAAAAAGTATTTAAAAAATAATAATCATGATTTTTACCCAGATGGGTAATGTGTCTTGAGGAAAAACCAAAGGATTACCCTGGAGAAAAAGCATGCACCTTTTAAGGAACCAAACAGGCACTTAAAACACTGACAGCAGCTGATTACCATAAGCTTTGCTCAAATATGAATTATCTGAAGAATTATTCCGAAGAATGCAGAGCCCAAGTTCCCTAAAGTGACGTAAGGAAGGAAACACCTCCCACATTATTTAACCGATTTACTGAGGTTTTTTTTTCATGGAAAGGTAAGCAAATGGAGCAGTGTTTATCAAACTTAGTAATTTTATGATGTCTGGACTTCAATTCTCAGAATTCCCTGGCCAGCATAGCTTCTGCGAATTCTGGGAATGGAAGCCCACATATCTTGGGAGTCGCTAAGGTTGAAACACACTAAAATAGAGACAGAACATTTCCTGCCAGAGAATGGGGCCTATGCTATTTAGATACACCAACTACAGATACTTTAGAGCAAGTGTGCTCAAGAAGCAAATCTAGCAGCCTGGATAATACAAAGGGCAACAGAGCCTTCATAAAAATATAGGCATTTTCAGGGGCAGTTTTAATTAGCAAGGAAGCAGGCATGGCTTTCTCTATTCCATCTCAACCTCCCTATACCTTCATTATATGGGCTGATTTCTTTCTCTTTTAAATAAATCTTATTTGAAGGGGCCCTTGTTTTATCCACGTCATGTAATACCAAATTCTGAGAAATAGGAAGGGCTACCTCTTACAACCCTGTGTGTTTACTTACATTACACATCCCTGCAACCTAGGTGATCCACACACACACACACACACACACACGCACACGCACACGCACACAACCTTAAAAAAGAGCTCAGAATGGCCATGCCAAATTGTGGGTCTAGGAAAGGTAACCTCAATGCCATCTCCTAGAGGGCTTGGAGAAGTGTTTGCTACCCATCCTTTTCTTTTGTTGTTGTTAAAAAAAAAAAGAAAAAGGCGAGTGTACAAAATGGTTTCCATCTTCTTCCCAAGTGAAGACAGTAGGTTCACAATAGACTGGCCAGGCTGGTGGTAGGTCCATTTTGTGCCTGAAACTGTACTGGTGGAGGCCCATCTGTCCACTGCAGGCAGGAAAACGACAACAAAGAAATAGATGCAGTTTATTGACTGGTGCGTGGTGAGTCATCTGATGACGTAATGCTTTTAAAACAAACACCAAGTTTTAAAGATTCTATATTTCAGAAATATTTGCGCACAACTTTGAAACAGCAACAGGCGACATGCAAATGACTGCAATTTCCATGATTTCTTGTTATTGCTCTGCTGGCTAGGACTGACCAGATAAGCAGAGATTAACGCCCAGATTAATACCAGACCAACTGTCAAACAAGAAACAATACCCCAATCAAGAAACTACAGGAACACTCCCACCAACACTGGAAGGGCAAGCCACTTGTATATAAAATAGAGAGCAAACCTCACTCCCTCCTCACACTGATGATGTTTCCTAGGTGGATAATAAAATGTCTGCAAACAAGCAGACAACCATGTTCAGAGAGCACAAAGAATCCCACAGTTCAACCCTGAACTACAAATGTTAGTTTGTAGCTCTACTGAACAAGGTTAGATTTACTTACTTATTAGATTTATATGCCACCCATCTCATTAACAAGCTACTCTAGGCAGCTTAAAACATCATAGATACCTGGGTGACCATGTTGCCCGACCCAAATGTACTCTGGTACTACTTTACTCTTCTCAGCTGCTTAATAAACCAAAGAAGATTAAGATCTCTTACTTACTCAATTTGTGTACTACTTTTCAACTCTAGGCAGATTTCAGTCAACACCCCTCAAAAAACACGAACCAGAATCCCAAAATAATAAATCCTGGGATTTTGAAGCCTTCCCCCAAGTACTCCTAAAATCATTCATGTTTTGTGAATTTTGGAACTTTGCAATGTTTTGCTGCTTGTGAGCTATATATTAATTGACTCAATTACAATTATTGTAATGCTGGATTTCATTGTAGAAGTTACTCATTGTTTTTAAATATGGGTGTGCCCAGTTGCATAGTTTTTGGAGGATAGCAGCTAAACGTTGTTAAATAAGCCTGTGGTCAAGACCTTTCAATTAATAACACTAAATGGAGAAAAGAATAGGATGGTTTTGATACCCAGAAGAGAACATAAGATCTAGAGCAGAGGTCTGCAAAAGTGGCAATTTTAAGACTTATGGACTTCAACTCCCAGAATTCCTCAGTCCACAAGTCTTAAAGTTGCCAAGTTTGGGGACCCCTGATCTAGAGATTAAATCAACAGCTTTGGCTTGTTTTCTTAACAAAATTAAAAATTGTCAAGAGACATTGTTATTTCTATCAAAAGCCAAAAATATGAGGTTTAACTAACTGCCCACCCAGTCTTTTTCTGTAGTTTCAGCCCATTACTCTCCTAAAACAAGGCGCCCAGTGGAAAAATCAGGAAAAGAATGCCCACAATGTTCTATCTACTGTACAGGTTTCAATACGGGTAGTCCTCAAGTTATGACTGTAATGGAGCCTGCCCACCATGGTCATCAATGGGTCCATCCGCGTGACTGACTCAATTTTATGATCTTTTTCAGGCAGTTGTTAGTTGTTAAGTGACATTAATGGTTTTGCTATAAGCCAATTTTGTCGAAAATTCAGAAATAACTCCTGGATTTCAGCAAAAATGCTGTAAAACATGGTCACGATTGTGAGGTGCTGCAAACAAATGTAAATGAGACAGTTGTGTGGCTGAAGTGCTTAACAGTGGTTGGAGGGCAGCCACTGGAACTTCGGAAATGGGCAGTAAGTACCTTCTGAGAAGTCTGTCGTAACTCTGAATAATTACTAAGCGACCGGTCATAAGTGGAGGACTACCTGCCATATTGAACTTGAGCAGCTGGGGAACAGAGGATCTTTCTCCTGGGATCTTCTGTTTTTCCCACCCCCTTCCCCACGGCGCCCACTCAGGTTAGCATATAGCAGGTGTGGGAAATGATAGCCCCCCATTATGATTCTGGACTTCAACTCCCAGAATTCTTGAGGCGGCAGCAGGGCTGACTCAGGAATTCTGGGAGTTGAAGTCCACAAGTCATAAAAGGGCCATGGTTCCACCACCACTGGCATACAGAGAGCAAGGGCCAGAAGGAAAGAAAAAGTGGCCAACATACAGTGATGAGGTTGTGCTCTGGGAGGCTACAGGCCTCAATGTGATCCTGGAGCAGCTGCTGGGAAAAGTTCTGATGCATTTGCGCTGCTTCATGGGCGTCGATGGCATTCCCACAGGCTTTGTTTAGGTCTTCATTGGAAAGGAGGGAGAGAGAAACAGAGACATTAGATTGCGAATCCTTTCAGTCAAGGAACCCATCCTCTCCCTTTATGGAGCAAACTATCCACAAACAAACAAATTACCCACTGTATTAGATAATATTAAGTCAATGATAAATATTATTACAGGTAGTCCTTGACTTACAACAGTTCACTTAGTGACAGTTTGAAGTTACAAAGGCACTGAAAAAAGGGAGTCAAGCAAAGTCAATTGTAAGCCAGATTCATTTAACAACCATGTTACTAATTTAACAACTGCAGCGATTCACTTAACAAATGGGGCAAGAAAAGTCATAAAATGGGGCAAGACTCATTTAACAAATTTCTCACTTAGCAACAAAAATTTTGGACTCAATTGTGGTCGTAAGCTGAGGACTACCTGTATATTGTTATCATACCTTTTAAAAATGTAGCTACTGGGTCAACCTAAGGCTCCCACCTCCTGTTTTCCCCACCCACAACAATAAGCCTATAAATTTGGCTGGATTGAGTGAGAGAAGGACTGGCCCAAAGTCATCCAGTTGGCTTTCATGCAGTACGTAAGAAAAACCTAAGACCTCATTACTGGTTTCTAAGCTAGGTATATAACACGACTACATCAAACTGACTCTAATAAGAAGTAAATATTATTAAAAGCATTAGGAATTAGAAAAGTTGATACATAACTTTTTTAAAAGAAAGAAGTACCGGTAGAATCTAAATCTAGAATCTAAATCCATTTTATTTAATTACCTACACTTTCAATTTCTTTGAAAAGAATTCATGGCTTTCTAAAACATACAGGATGAAAAGGAAGAGCAAGCATCATAATCAAAGATCTTTATACCAGTGGTGGTATTCTACGGGTTCGGCCCAGTTCTGGTGTAGCACTGAAGATCAGTGGAGACCGAACTGGTACTCTCTAAGGAGCTGCTGTTGGGCCTACCTGCCCGCCTGGGCTCCCATACTGACCTTCATTCCCTACTTTTGAAGTGTAGCTGCTTTGCGCGGCACAGCAGATTGCCGCGTGTCAGCTGTTGAAGCGACAGGGAGAGTACAGGATTACAGGAGGTGAGTAGGAAAGCCTCTGTGTGTGCGTGCAAAGTGCGCATTTGGTGCACACACATGCAAAGTGTGTGTCCACGCACAAAGCGTGCTCGCCAAGCCACACCCACCGAACCAGTGGTAAACTATTTTGAAACACACCACTGCTTTATACTAAGCTGGGTTATGTTGAGATGGCAATGTAAGTTATGATTAAATTACTTTGAATAGCCAAGTTGACACAGGTAAGAGTGCTGAGTAACTTGCATCTAACAAAAATGATATTTAATAGAAAACAGACTGCAGGTGCCACTCATTCAGCGACCATTCGAAGTTACAGTGATGCTGAATGCGTGGTATTCACAAGTGGTCTTCTGTGTTCCCGCATTTCTGTGATCATGATCCAGGTATTTGGCAACTGGCTCACAATTGTGATGTCACAGCACTCTGGTCACGTGATCAACATTTGCAACCTTCACTGCCTGCTTCTGACAAGCAAAATCAATGACCTGTCTTAATGTAAGACAACTTGGCCAATGTGGTTTGCAAATGGTGGTTCATGTCTTAGCACGTTGTGCAACCCAACTCCCTATGGGAGTTATTTCAATCATTAAAGAAACCATAGTTTATCACAGCGTACAAATGCATCCTTTGAATTATGACCCATTGTCGTTAACTGACCTCTCAGGAGGGCCGATGACCACAACTGTACAGACATGTCGGGGATCTTGCTGGCCAGCTGCATGGCTGGGACTACCATGTTGTTACTCTCCTAGAGATAAAAGGGGTCTTGATCAAACAAAAATGGCAGCTGGACGTGGTTATTTCCCCTGAATTTACTGATTGGGAGCACCCACATATAAATCAAACATGGGTTTGCAGGGTATCACCTGTCACCATTCAACACAAATCTCTTGATAATCATATTATACTTAATATCTATGGAGATTCTCAAGTCATCCAGATCATGGTTGTCCCAAAGGTGTTTTTTCAAGAGGCAGGTGGACTTTCTTTGTTTTTTCCTTGAAGATGTTTCGCTTCTCACCCAAGAAGCTTCTTCAGAGAACTGAAGAAGCTTCTTGGATGAGAAGCGAGACGTCTTTAAGGAAAAACAAAGAAAATCCAGTTAGTTGACTCTTGAAAAAGCACCTTTGGGGCATTATACTTAATAGATCTCTCACTGAAGGTAAGGCCCATGTAACACCTTCATTGCATGAGCTCTGCACTGGCTTCCAATTTCTTTCAAGGTGCAATTCAAGGTGCCAGGTATTACCTTTAAAGCCCTACACAGCACAGGGCCAAGTTATCCATGGGACCCCCTTTCCCTAAGGCCATCTACACATCCAGCCAGGTTAGCTAGGCTAGGCACGCTCCAAGTCCCTTGCCCTAAATAGTGCCATGGCAGAGTCGCCCTGCAGCGAGATGGGCAGGCAAACGAATTTAATAACAATAATAATAATACGATGTGAGCTAGGAAGTGTGCTTTTTCTGTGGTAGCCCCTGCCCTGTGAAACATTTTGACCCCTGAAGCTCGGCAGGCCTAGCCTTCCATAAAGCTTTGAAGACCTGGCTTTTCCTGCAAGTCCTGGGATAGCATTAGATTCCTGCACATTAGAAGTTTGACTTGGCACCGGATTTCTGTTATTTTTAATGGTTTAATATGTTTAGTTTTAAAGTGTATATGTTGTTTTAACTTTTGATTGGGAGAGGCCGAGAGTTGCTTATACACTGAATGACTATATAAATGTTTTAAATAAAATAAAATAAAACGTGCCATCCAGATGGCTGCCTTCATTTCCCTTCTCCCCCACCAAAACAATAATGAATTTTTCCTTTCAATAAAGTTTCATCTAAATATGTAAATGAGTAAGAAACAGCCTCTTTCAGAAAAGTTTGTCTGATGTGAATCAATCGAGTCTGTTTCAAACATTTCTCTACTGTCTGTCTGAAAGAAACAAGACAGGGACACGATGGATAATCTCTTATTGAGTGTTCAGCTATGATTGCATTATTTCTTTGTCACCGCATAACATTCAAAGATGCAGCAAAAATCATTTAGAGACAAGGCTAACATCCCGAATCCTGCAGGCCATGTGCGGGGATAACAACTGCAACAAGGCTTAAATAATCTCATTGTAATTCTCCCGGCTTAACAACTGCCCTGTTTAATGACCATTTGAAGTTACAACAGTGCTGAAAAATTAACTTCACAACTACTGTCAAACTTAAAAATAGCTGCACCGTCCCTGCAGTTATGTAATTGCCATTTATTAGCTTCACAGCTTACATCCAGCAAGCAAAGTAAATGAAGGAAGTGGCAGTAGCATCGCAAAATCATGCAATGTCCCACTTAACAACCAAGGGTAATTTGCTTAATGAATAAAGGCAAGTATATGTGTTCCAGGCTGATGTTGCAGGATACAATCTGGGTCGGTCACCAGGACCAGAGGGTTAGTCTTCCGAGCTTTTGGATTCGTGCTGGAGCCCCTGACTGAATTTGTTTAATGACCACAGTGGAACTGATGTCAATTCGGTGCGATTATTTGATTTTTCCCTTAGTGACTATGTCTGGCTTAGTAATGGAATTTCTGGTCTCAACTGTGGTTGTTATAAGAGGATTATTTGCAATTAATTTCTCACTGCAAGTTCACACTTCACTTCAGGGCACCAATTTGACTATTTGCAATAAGCAGATAAATTGCAGTGTTTGTGGAATAATTTAGTGCGTAGCAAAAAAATATAGTAATTATCTTTCACATTTCCTGAGGAGGAAAAAATGGGAAGATTTGTAGTTACAAGTATTTTTCAGAAAGCGTCTGGAGTTTGTTTTTTGATATCTATATGTATGCGATTGCCGCACACGGTAACAAATAAATAAACCACAATTTGAACATTCGATTACTACAGATGCCCTCAAATTTTCCAGCACACCATATGACTATCATCACCACCTGTCAGCCCATTTATACACACATTGCGTTAAGATTAATTTCACACTCTTAATTTCATTGGCAAGAGAAAAAGGGAAGTATCATCAACACCACTAAAAAGGATTTATGACTTACCCTGTGATTCCCTAACACATAGAAGATGTGACCCAGAAGAACAAGAGAGCATGCTGTTAATCGGTTTAGATCTTCTGCATTTGACATTTTTAGTGTCTCTCGTAAAAAACGTCTACCAAAACAAAAGATTAAAAGAAAGAAAACATTTTGGGCAATGTAAGAGGTTTAACCAAAAACTGGCTCTTCCAGCAACTACTTCAGCACCTCATTTGCACATTCCCATAGTATCTATAACTCTGTTTGTTTTTTTTCTAAACATCCTATAGTATCTATGCTTTTTAAAGAAGCTTTAAGTAGCTGAATTACTGTAATTTGATTACAGGCCTTCAAACTCATCCAGTAGTGGCCTGGAGGCATTTTATCCCTTCAATCATGGACTTTTGATATCTCAACAGAATTCAGACAGTTTTACTAACGTTTAACGTTTATACTTATTCAGTTGCAATTAAGGGGGCTGTCTGCTAACCACAAAAATTACAGGTAGTCCTTGACTTACAACAGTTTAGTGACCGTTTGAAGTTACAACGGCACTGAAACAAATGACTTTGGATAGTTTTTCATGCTTATGACTGTCGCAGCATCCCCATGGTCATGCGGTCAAAATCCAGACACTTCGCAAACTAATTCATATTTACGACGCTGACGGTGTCCTGGGCTCACGTGATCTGCTTTTGCAACCTTCTCATAAGCAAAATCAATGGCGAAGGCAGATTCACTTAACAACCGCGTTACTAAACTGAACAACGGCAATGATTCACTTAACTGCGGCCAGAAAGGTCGCAAAATGGGACAAAACCGATTTAAGGGCTGTCTGGCTTAGTAACAGGAATTTGGGGCCCAGTTGTGGTCGTAAGTCGAGGACTACCTGTGCGCTGAGACTGGAATGGAACCAAGTAAGCTACTAAGATGATAAGAGTAGGGAAAGGGGCCCTTGCTGGCATCCATACACTAAACTTGGCCATGGGGCAGCGCTCATTCATAAAAAACGGCAGTTTCCTGCGGAGTCTTAACAGGGTATTTAGCTGTTATCAAACAGCAGTGCAACTGAGCAGAATCCCGCCTTTGACCTGCCTTTTCGCTAAAAAGAAGAAATGCTTTGTGACTCACTTGGCTTCATTGTACCTTCCTTGAAAGAAGGAGAACAGCCCTCGGATGTAGAAAGCGGCAGCTCGAAGACAGTGGGAGCTGGAAGAGACAGAGCAGGCACACAGACAAGTAAGCAAGCATTCATGGCCCAAGGGGGAAATCATGGGCTCCAACTGGCCAAATTGCATGTTACCAGGGAACCCCTATCAACCGATAGGTTAAGTGACGTATTTAGGCTTGATTTCAAGCCAATATTGTCAGACTTTGCCCACAAAGTTTGTGTCTCATTCTACAAAACACCTTTAAAGGGCTGGATTTAGGAATATAGATTCCTATTGAATTGATACGTGTAAAGAGAAGGCCAGACAAAAATTAGCCAGACAACTACACGTATCTGTTGGTTCAATGAGATCATCTTTACTGAATCTCTCCTATCAACACACAGATTACTACCACAACCTGCAGCTATCGACGTTACATCAAACCCTTCATGGCAACTAAGCTGGTTGAATCTTCACACAGCACCAGCCTAGACAAGGCAGGCTGCAGCCCATAAGCACTAAAGTAAATGTCTCTAGAGAAGGGGTGTCAAACTCAAGGCCCATGGGCTGGATAGAACTGGCCCATGCTGCTGCCCTGGAAAGAGCAAAGGACCAGCCCGCAGGGCCTCTGCCAGATAAAATGGAGTTTGGGAAGGCCGCATGCAGCCCTCTGAGGCTCCATTTTCAGCTGTGACAACATCCTGCTGCGCTCTGCCAGTGACAAGGGAGCTGGGGGCGGGAGGAGGGGCGCATGCGGTCTCCCTGAGCTCCATTTTCACTGGCAGAGCACGGCAAGAGGTAATCACGGCTGAAAATGGAGCTTGGGAGCCTGTTTTCACGGGCAGAGCGCTCGGGCCACCACAGATGCTGACATAAGTGACATCAAGCTGGCCATATCCACCTTGGCCAAGCCCCCACCCCCAGGTCAAACACAGTCTTGATGCGGCCCTCAGTGAAATTGAGTTTGACACCCCTTCTCAACCTTGGCAACTTTAAGACTTGCGGACTTCAACTCCCAGAATTCCTCAGCCACCTGGCTGAGGAATTCTGGGAGTTGAAGTCCACAAGCCTTAAAGTTGCCAAGGTTGGAGACCCCCTACTCTAGAGTGTCTCTTAGCCTCATAGCCCATTTCTAAAAGAGGCAACTGGCCCACTCTTGTTCCTGCCATCTATTCTTCTTCCTTATTTCCACTGCTTCTTTGTACCTTTTGCCACTGGCATTGCTTTTCTCAAGCTGAACGGAAATAGTAGCTGAAACCTGATTTCTATGCTTCTCCAGAGGGATTAGCCTCCACATCTTTATGCATATATGGAAAATATAGGATAAAACATCCCATGTGAAACATTTCAATCTCTAAGCAAATCATTTCAAGGGATGTTCTGTGCTGGAAGCGGAAGGGTTTTTTTTTTTAATGTTTACTGTTTTTATCATTTTGCTGAATGCCTCCCACAGTCACTTTTTATGAGATGCATGGATGACCGTATAAAATTGGACAATGAATGTATGTATGTACACATATATAATGGAGAATATTTGTAGCTCAGGGTTGGCATGAGGGATCCTTGGTGCTCTCTGAGCTTGCTGTGTTTTCTTGCAGACTTTTCATGACCCACTCTAGGTAACATCATCAGTGCTGCTAATGTTATCTAGTTTGGGTAATGAAACATCTGCAAGAAAATAAGCAAGTCGGGGAGCACCAAGGACCCTCATGTAAGTATGTATGTTATGTATGTATGAATGTATGTATGTATGGTATGGTATGTATGTTTTGAGGCCTGCTAAACGAGCTCAACCTTATAGAACTGTCCAGCAAATCGGAACAGGCTTTTTTTGAGGTGACAAGTTTTGAAAAACTTGGAATAGAGGCAAAAATTGGTGGGTTTCAAGGCCTGCAGCCTGATTATGATGTACATTTAACACAGGCAACCTCTATTACTTCTCTCTTTAAAGAGCAGAGGATGTGTAGATAGATGCAAATAATGAAGGGCAATTGTCACACAAATTACAAAAAGAGAGATGACAAGTCACTCGTCTCTCTTTTACTTTAGTGTGCCTTAAAAATCCGAAGCTATCCAAGCCCTAAGGTCAGTTTCAAAGGCCTATTCAGAAAGACTTCCACCAGGGAGAACCATTGGCAGAGTCTCTCGATTTTAAGTGGACTGTGAAACACCACATTTAAATACAACCTTTCAGACTAAGCACTCCATTATTCAGTTTTATTGTTTCAGGTTATTCAGGTTTCAGTTTTATTCTTTCCTTATTATGCCTTCATACCAGAATGTGTACGTCACTTCTATTCTTTGAAAAGCAGGATGTAAATGTAAATAACTAAACTAAAAAGAAGGAACAGGGATCGAAGTGCAGACTGACAAGGCATACTATACTGTTTTAAACGTCCACCGAGATTACTATTAGTTTACTGTTGTTGATCAAACTGCCTATCTAAATTCCTGGCATATAAAAATGTTGTGAAACAGAGAGTTCACCAGAGTCATACAACAGTTAAAAGCGCTGCTGGTGCCAAGGAATCATTACAAGCCATCCAATACAATGGCTTTATATTGTTTATATAACATTATATTGTAATGGGAATTACTGATTCACCTACCTCACTGGAAAATTGTGGTCTGGGTTTATCCTTTCCAACAAGCTATAAAGCTGGAGAGGAGGAACACACGAGGAAGTTAGTTAGTTTTTAAATCATGTTTACAGTTATACAGGACAAAGGCAGTTTGACCCAAGCAGTTTATCATGCGAATATTCTCCGAGGCTTCCTGGGCTGAGAGGTTGTCTGAGAAAGCCAAACATTCTCTTTCAGATACAGCTCAGCGTATTTTTTACAAACTGAAAGGATTTCCACATTTACAAATCAGCCTGCCTGGCTTTTGATGATTTCAAATGATTCCTATTTTACTCAAATAAAATAAAAAAAAATTGTATTCACAACTAGATAGTGAGCTAAATTCTGAGCCACACTAATGAAAATTTGGAATTGTTCTATGAGCTGTAGTTTAGAAAGAAGACAAAAGACATAAGACATAAGCTTAGAAGACAAAAGATGCTGTTTACAGAACATCTTGAAATGACTTTTTAAAAACAACATGGATAAAGTAAATGCTCCCCCCACCCCGCCCCCCGTTGTGCTTTATATGATGAAGCCAACTGTTCACATTTCATTTAAGGCCCAATACTTCAGCCAGGACATTTACCTCTTGATGCCGGTTTCCTTCCCTGATATAGACGCTTGCCAAGTTTGTCACGATAAAAGCCCACAATTCCTGATGGGTGGTGAGCTAGAGAACAGACAAGACACATATAACCAAAAAGAGGTTTAAAGCACTTTACCCTTCTTGCACGAAGTCCTCAACTTATGTCGTTGTAACAACCATTTGAAGTCACAAGGTTCTGGGAAAGGGGGTTTTATAGCCTGTAAAACACTACCAGCCATTGTGAAACACTGTGCTGCCCCCTAATGGTTTAGTTTAGTTTAATTTACTTTATTGTCATTGCACCTCGTTTCATGACTACATTTTAAGGATTTGGCAACCAACTTGCATTTATGACCGGTTGCAGCTTCCCAGGGTCATGTGACATATATATGTATATGTATACGTATATGTACCGTGTTTCTCACAAAATAAGGCCGGGCCTTATTTTTTTTTTTGACCCCCGAAAAAACAGCTAGGCCGTCTTTTCAGGGGTGACTTAATTCCCCCCTCCCCCGCACCCTTGGGCTGGCGGGCGGCGACGGCTTGGATGTTGACCTCGGCGTTGGTGGGGAACTTCGTATTGGGAGACCTTCCGCCACCGTTGCTTTCCCTTCTCCCTGTGGTGCCGCAGCATTTAGAGCAACGCCACAGTGTTTGGCGCAGCCACACGCGGCCAGCCAGAGCCCGGGAGACAGGGACAGGGAGGCAAGGCGACAGCCTGCGCCACGTCCTCCTCCGAGCTGAGACCTGCCGAGTGAGAGCCTCTGCCCAATGCCCGTGCCGCTGCAGCATTTGGAGCTCCTGGCGCATTTGGAGATGACTGGGGATGGGGACAGGCTGGCCGAGGGGTGGAAAGGACGGGCAGCTTCAGGCTCTCTCCGCCAGAGCTGCCGGCCAGGGAAACAGCGCTGCCATCACGTTGCCTCCCTGTCCACGGACAGGTGGGCGCTATCACTGCCTCAGGCAGCCTTTCCCAGTGGCCCCTTCAGGTTCGGGCTGGAGGGACTTGGGAAGGAAGCCAAGCTTGGGTCCGCCCGGCTCTTTCGCTTGGCAGGCAGGCGCGTACCCGCAGCTCACTTTCCCGGCTCTGCCCAGCCAGCACGGCTCTGGCAGGATGAGCGGAGGGCCTGGCGGGGAGGCACTCGCTGCCTTGGCGAGAGCTCTGCTGCCGGTTAGGAGGGCCCGCCTGTCAGCTGCGCTGGGCGCCCCAGGTGAAGCTCTTCGCGCTCTGCCAGGCACCAGGCAGGGATGGCGGCTGGGCGCTTCTCCCGGGGTGGGTCGATCCTGTGCTGCAGCCCCAGGAGATTTGCCTCCCCATGTGGGGTTGGGCTGCCCTCTCAGGCAGGGGAGTCTTTGTCATACCGGTAGTAGGGCGTTGGTTTTAAAAGAATTGGCTTTGCCTTTGAAGGTGAAGGGAAGGTGGTGACAGGAGCGCCTGAAGCCGAGTGTCTCCGCCGGGCTCCGGTTGCAGGAAGGAGACCTGGCTGGCCGCGCCAAAGAGTGCGGCGTTGCTCTAAACGCTGCGGCAGCACGGGGAGAAGGGAAAGCAACGGTGGCGGAAGGTCTCCTGATACGAAGTGTCCCACCAACGCCGAAGTCAACGCAGGCAGCACCATATCCGGGTATGCAACAAAAGTACTTCCTAACGGCAAGCCACACCCCCCGCCATTCCTTTCCATTTCCCATATTTAATATAGGCCTTAATTTGGGGGGAGGGGCTTAATTTGATTTTATGCCTATAAAGCATGCTGGGACTTCCTATTGGGGGAGGCCGTATTGTTGGAGAAACATGGTATACGTATATGCATATGTATATGTATATATGTACATATACACTGCTCAAAAAAAATAAAGGGAACACTTAAACAACACAATATAACTCCAAGTCAATCACACTTCTGTGAAATCAAACTGTTCACTTAGGTAGCAACACTGACTGACAATCAATTTCACATGCTGTTGTGCAAATGGAATAGACAACAGGTGGAAAGCATAGGCAGTTAGCAAGACACCCCCAATAAAGGAGTGGTTCTGCAGGTGGTGGCCACAGACCACTTCTCAGTTCCTATGCTTTCTGGCTGATGGTTTGGTCACTTTTGAAAGCTGGCGGTGCTTTCACTCTAGTGGTAGCATGAGACGGAGTCTACAACCCACACAAATGGCTCAGGTAGTGCAGCTCATCCAGGATGGCACATCAATGCGAGCTGTGGCAAGAAGGGTTGCTGTGTCTGTCAGCGTAGTGTCCAGAGCATGGAGGCGCTACCAGGAGACAGGCCAGTACATCAGGAGACGTGGAGGAGGCCGTAGGAGGACAACAACCCAGCATCAGGACCGCTACCTCTGCCTTTGTGCAAGGAGGGACAGGAGGAGCACTGCCAGAGCCCTGCAAAATGACCTCCAGTGGGCCACAAATGTGCATGTGGGTGCTCATACGGTCATGAGGGTGGTATGAGGGCCCTATGTCCACAGGTGGGGGTTGTGCTTACAGCCCAACACCGTGCAGGACGTTTGGCATTTGCCAGAGAACACCAAGTTCGGCACATTCGCCACTGGCACCCTGTGCTCTTCACAGATGAAAGCAGGTTCACACTGAGCACATGTGACAGACGTGACAGGGTCTGGAGACGCCGTGGAGAACATTCTGCTGCCTGCAATATCCTCCGGCATGACTGGTTTGGCAGTGGGTCAGTAATGGTGTGGGGTGGCATTTCTTTAGAGGGCCGCACAGCCCTCCATGTGCTCGCCAGCAGTAGCCTGACTGCGATTAGGTACCGAGATGAGATCCTCAGACCCCTTGTGAGACCATATGCTGGTGCGGTTGGCCCTGGGTTTCTCCTAATTCAAGACAATGCTAGACCTCATGTGGCTGGAGTGTGTCAGCAGTTCCTGTAAGACGAAGGCATTGATGCTATGGACTGGCCCGCCCATTCCCCAGACCTGAATCCAATTGAGCACATCTGGGACATCATGTCTCGCTCCATCCACCAACGCCACCTTGCACCATAGACTGTCCAGGAGTTGGGGGATGCTTTAGTCCAGGTGTGGGAGGAGATTCCTCAGGAGACCATCCACCACCTCATCAGGAGCGTGCCCAGGCGTTGTAGGGAGGTCACACAGGCACGTGGAGGCCACACACACGACTGAGCCTCATTTTGACTTGTTTTAAGGACATTACATCAAAGTTGGATCAGCCTGTCGTGTTTTTTTCCACTTTAATTTTGAGTGTAACTCCAAATCCAGACCTCCATGGGTTGCTAAATTTGATTTCCATTGATAATTTTTGTGTGATTTTGTTGTCAGCACATTCAACTATGTAACAAACGAAATATTTAATAAGAATATTTCATTCATTCAGATCTAGGATGTCTTATTTTTGTGTTCCCTTTATTTTTTTGAGCTGTGTGTGTGTGTTTGTGTGTGTGTGTGTGTGTGTATTATGGTATTCAGCTTTGTTTGGGTATTTTCCCACATCATTATAGTTGGGCTTTTAAAGTTGTAGCAATGTTTGGGCAGAATCTCATCTGCCATCATCAGGCTCGTGTATTGTGTTCGTCTGTGAGTCAGACTTTAAAACAGAAACGGCTGTGAAAGTCTGACTCACAGACGAACACAATACAGAAGCCTGATGATGGCAGATGAGATTCTGCTGAAACGTTGGTACAACTTTAAAAGCACAACTATAATGACGTGGGAAAATACCCGAACAAAGCTGAATACCATACATACATATATACGTGCCTGCTGGTTTCTGGCAAACAACGTCCACTCAGAATGCATTTGTTTAACAGTTGCAGAATTCAACTTACAACCATGTGATTCGCTTAATGAGTGCCATGAAAACAGTGGCGAAATCAGGACTGGTCACATGGATGCCTCAATTTAACAATACTAATAGCAGGGGTGGGTTTCTAGCGGTTCTGTCCACCTCTGTAGAACCGGTTGCTCCGAAGAGCAGCAGACATAGAACCGGTTCTATGTCTGCTGCTGTTTTGGCCCACCTACCCGCCCAGGCTCTTACCTGACCTTTAGTTCCCGCTTTTTCAAGTGCAGCTGCTTTGCGTGATACAGCTGCAGTTGAAAAAGCAGGAAAAGAGGGCTTTTCCAACCGCTGGCAATTGCACGCAGTGCTGCTCAGCTGTCCGGGCAGCTCAGCAGATTATAAATTGCACTCCCGCAACTCGTGCATGTGCACGTGACGCTAATAGACAGACCCGGTAGTTATACCGGTCGGATCCCATCCCTGAGCAATAGCATTTATATATCGCTTCCTAGTGCTTTTACAGCCCTCTCTAAGCGGTTTACATAGCCAGCGTGTTGCCCCCAACAATCTCAGTCCTCATTTTAGAGACCTGGGAAGGCTTGAAGGCTGAGTCAACCTTGAACTGCTGAGGCTCCAACTGCTGAACTGCAGCCAGCCAGCAATCAGCAGAATTAGCCTGCAGTACTGCAACGTGCCACCACAGCGCAACAACCGCAATGACTTACAAACAAAATTCCAGTCCCCGTTATGGTCTTAAGCCAAGGACTGCTGTATCAGCCTTCCAAGTTATTTAATTAATTAGATTATTTGAAGAGGAGACTTACACCCAGAAGCACAAAACAAAAGAAACTTACCCGAAGTGCTGTGGTAAACTGTGCTTCCGCGTTGTCCATGCAGTTCACAGAAATGCAATATAGCCCCTTCAATGGAAAACAGCAGGGAAAGTTCAAGGAAAGGTACTTTGGGTTTTAGGAATGAAGACTTAGCGGAGGAAGTTGAACAACAGTGCAGTGTAGATCTATGTTTCCAGTGTGGATCTATGTTCCTAGTATAGATCTATGTTCCTAGTGTAGATCTATGTTCACATTCCGTTTGCTTTAATAGTTATGAATCTAACTTCTCTTCCCACCTAAGAACCTAGAAGAAATTCCAGTAGGGAAATACAGGTAGTCCTTGATTTACAACAGTTCGTTTAGTGACTGTTTGAAGTTACAAACACATGGTCATGTGATCAAAATTTAGATCTTTGGCAACTGACTCGTGTTTATGATGGTTGCAATGTCCCGGGGTCATGTAATCACCTTTTGTGGCCTTCTGACAAGCAAAGTCAATGGGAAAATCCAGATTCACTTAACAACCACGTAACTATGTTAAGAACCGCAGTGATTCACTTAACAAGTGTGTCAGGAAAAGTCGGAAAACGAGGCAAAGCTCACTTAACAAATTTCTCACTTAGCAACAGAAATTTTGGGCTTAATTGGTGTCATAATTCGAGGACTACCTGTAAACATATTCCTTAACTTTGTAACATGGCATTAAGCTTTGGAAATGATTTTGCCCTGCTTTTTTTTCTCCACACAAATAACTCATTTAAATCCTACTGTGGTCAGTGTTGCTCCCCAATAGAGTTAATCGCAGCAATTCATATTCTGCTTCTTCTTCTTCTTTCCATAGCTTCAATGGACATTCATGATATTAGATCCAAATTTTCCTATTCCTGGCCTTTTAAACTTACCCCCAATTTGACCTCAAGGTTATCTACTTGTCTTGAGGGGAAACTCAATAGAAATGCTACTTTTGGGTGTACACACAGCACAGGTAACCGGGGGAAACCGTACACATCAATTCCTGCTGACGAGAATTAAGGAGGATTTATTGAAGGCCACTTCATCTATAAATCAGGGCTGGGGAATCGTGGCCATTTTATGACAGCGGACTTCGACTCCCAGAATTCCTGAACTGGTTGACTCCGGAATTCTGGGAGTTGGAAGTCCACCAGTCATAAAAATGCCGCGGTTTCCCACCCCCCATCTATAGGCACTGAAAGAATTTCAACAAATTCACAGCAAGGCCAAACCCTTACAAAATGGGAGGAATAGCCAAGCTAGAGAGCTATTCCTCCTGTGTTTATGCAGGGGTAACTGAGTTGTACAGGTGGCCTTTGACTTACAAGAATTTGTTTTAGTGACCGTTCAAAGTTACAACGGCACTGAAAAAAGCGACTTACCTACCACCCATCCTCACACATACAACCATTGCAGCATCCCCGCAGTCACACGATCAAAATTCAAGCACATGGCAATCAACATGTCCTTACAATGCTGCGACATCCCGGGATCATGTGATTGCCATTTGAAAATCTTCCAACAAGCAAAGCCAATGAGGAAAGCCAGATTCGCTTAACAACGGCATGATTAACTGCAGTGATTTGCTTAACGACCATGGCAAAAAAAAAAAGTCTGTAAAAGGGTACAGCTCCCTAAGCAGTTGCCTTGCTTAGCAATGGAAATTCTGGTCCCAGTTGTGACTGTACATCAAGGACTACCTGGCCTTGTTACCAAAGCCTTGTGGGGCTCCATTTGTTTGAAAACTGACAGCTTTCCAAGGAATGGACCTCCGGTTTCCCACAGTGAATAAAATTCCACAGGTTCATGAAAACCTAGATGCACATGCATCACAGAACGCTTCGGGGACTGGGAAGTGATACTCACCAGAAGAGCATGTAGCTGGGCAGCATGATTAGAAAAGAGCCTGGGTGACTGCTGACAGAGCTGGCATACCTGTGAAATCTTGGTGCAAACGGAAGAGAACATGACTTAATATCCCAGGGTGATTCACAGCGATTCTTCTGACTTTACCCAGCCTAGCAGGGTTCGCTTCCTTTTTTTTGCCTTCCTCTTTTCTGACACAACCGCTGATTCCAGCTGCACTTTGGGGATTGCTTCATTATTTTGTAAAATCACTTTTGTGTTGCTGCAACACCCCCCTCCTACTTTAGTATAGAAAAATATCAGGTAAAAGTTTCACTGGGGAACTTTGGCCAGCTTTCATTTCATTTCACTTCACCATACTTTTCAAATAATCTGCAATGCTGGAAATGGCCAGAATAAGCCCACTCGTGACTCTTGGGTGCCCTCAGAATGACAGAGTTGGAAGGGACCTTGAAGATCTTCTAGTCCAACCCAGGAGAACCTATACTATTTCAGACAAAGGGTTGCCCAGTCTCTTCTTCAAAACTTCCAGTGTTGGAGCACCCACAACTTCTGGGGGCAAGTCGTTCCACTGATTAATTGTCCTTAATTGTTTCTCCTTAATTCCAGGTTGCTTCTCTCCTTAATTAGTTTCCATCCATTGTTTCTTGTCCTGCCTTCTGATGCTTAGGAGAATAGCTTGGCCCCGTCTTCCTTACATAATTGAAAACATTGCTCTCACGTCACCACCTCTAGACCTAATAGCAGTCGTCCAATATTTGAGGAGCTGCCCCAAAGAAGAGGGGGACCAACCTATTCTCCAAAACACCAGAAGGCAGGACAAGAAGCAACGGATGGAAACTAATCAAGGAGAGGAGCAACGGAGAACTAATGAGAAATTCCCTGACAGTTAGAACAATTATGGCAGTGACAGTCCGAGGTCTTCCAAGACTGTCTCCTTTTCAACAACCACAAAGAGTGGTGATTTCAGTTAAGCCTCCACACATCTGTTCCCCATCACCACCCGCAGTTCCAAAGGACACCGAATGCCCTAAAGCAGCGCTTCTCAATCGTGCCTGGCTGGGGAATTCTGCCCACAGGCCTTCAAATGGCCAAGGTTGAGAAACCCTGCCCCTAAAGCAATGCGAGTCTTTACCTCTTGCAGGGCTGTAGCTTTGTGCCCTGTGACTAGCCGGCACATGATGATATGTTCCAACAAGATGACTTGGAAAGATGATAAGATAGGGCTGCAATCAAGCACTGGAAGGAAAGAAATGATGCGGTTTAGGGAAAAGAAAAAAAGAGAAAGGGAACAGACAGCTCTACATTTGGTGGAGTGACCATGCTGAATGTACTCGACTTAGGACCAGTTCCGTAGCGACTGTTCGGTGTTATCATGATGGACCCTCTCCAAAGGTACTTACAACCTGGTTCTGAAGTTTCTAATCTCCCCCCCACACACAATTATGTGACCAATTTTGGGTACTCAGCAACAGGCCTAAATTTGTGGTCCGTGGTTGCGCGACTGTAATTTATATCTTTTTAGACCAAAAATCAGCTGTTTATTTCTGGGATTTGCTCAAGAAGCACCACAAAAAGGGTTGTAAAATCAGGTCGTGAATGTGATGATCCACTTTATGACTGTTGTGACTTGCAACCATAATGGGCAAGTTGAGTTAAGAACTACCTTTAATTGTTTTTCTGAAGCAGGCAGTAATATTTTAGGTTTTATAAAAGCAACCGTTCAAATATCTTGGGAGACATGCGACATCAGGCTGGCAAAAACACCAGTCTATCCAATTCTTCCCTCCGTGTGAAGAAAAGAAATATGTCAAAAAAATTCCACCATAAGAATCAAGTGATTCTTTCTGGCACTGCTAAAGTGAAAAGCAAAGTAATATTGGTTCCTTTCCTTAAGTTCAGAAAAGATCTTGGCTGACCATGCAACTCTGATGCTTAGGAGAGTTTTCTGGTGCTTAGGAGAGGACCCATCAGTAGCCCTGAAAAAGGACACTGGTGTCCTGAAAAGGCAACATGTAAAAGGGAGAATGGAGATAAATGTAAAAGGGAGAATGGAGATAAATGGAGCATGCAAGTCAGACATTCAAGAACAGAATCTGTGTGAAGACACACACCAAAGAAGTTTACTCTGCTCACTTTTGAGTTTTTCTAGCTGCATCAAGGCTTTGTCGGTGTATTTCTGGGCCTTCTCCAAATATCCGGCTTGCATCGAATGCATCACAGTCACCTGGCAAAAAATAAAAAATAAAAAAAAAATACCATGTTTGTTTGGCAGACTATTTTGCAACCCTGAAACGAATTGCTTCAATGTTCTCCCTGCTGCAAATTAACGTGGCTCGTTTTACATGAAAAACAAAGACAGGGTAGAAGTTCTAAATGAGAATGCATGCAGTTAGCAACACTGTGAACGCCCATGCTGGCACGCCACCTGTGCAATTAAAAACAGGCACATTCATCTTCCTCACAGCAGGGCACAAGGCACTGCCAAATTGTCCTCATTGGGAAAGCCTTGTGGCCAACAATGCAATTAATGTACAAAAAACACAGAAAGCCTCTCTGCCTTTAGTTTCTAATGCTTTTTGTTAAGGAAACAAAATAGAACTTTTATCAAATTTCAAAAGAACACGGGAGGAGGAAGGGATGGGGGGAAAGCAGGAAAAGGGGGGAAAAGGGGAAAGCAGGAAAAACACAAAATTGGGTGGTGCAGAGAGAAAACAAAATGTAACTCCCGACTCTCTGATATACAGATACAAGCATGAAATGCAAGTAGATTAAACCAAATCACAAACTATTTCTTTAGTTAAAAACAGTTCTACTCATCAAATCCCAAGATTACATTTTCATTTCTTTGGGTTTCAAGCTAAAGTCCAAAAATTGTTTCTAAATTACTGTTTCAGAATTCCTGACACCTAAAGGTTAGACCATTAAAACCATCTAGCCCAGGAGTGTCCAATCTTGGCAACTTTAAGACTTACGAACTTCAACTCCCAGAATACTGGCTGGCTGGGGAATTCTGGGATTTGCAGTACGCAAGTCCTAAAAGTTGCCACAGTTGGACACCCCCAATCAAGCCAATGCTGACAATACCTGATTATAACAATTCCCCAAAGTCTCCAGAAGAAAAACCTCTCTGCTACTAGACATTCTGCTAGCTGAAAGTCCAGCGACTATAACTGGGACATTTCTGCAAGCAAAGAAAGGACTCTATCAATGAGCTATGATGCCCTCAGGAAACCTTGTCATCTTCTGAACCCACTGAGCTCAGTATTGTCCATTAACATGAATGGTGGTTTTCCAAAGCCACATACTGATGTCTTTCTTACCACCTGCTGCCTAGGAATGTTGGTAATTAAACAAAAGACATTAATTCTTTGGAATATATTGTAAACAAAAGCAAAAATTACGCAGAGGCAATTTAAAGGAAAGCCAGTAATGCCCCCCCCCCCCCCCCGCTAACTGCTGCAATTGTAAATTGGGACACTGCTGCAATTGTAAATTGGGACACTAGAGGAGCACTGTGGCTCACGTGGCTAGGGGCGCTCAGTTGGAAGTTAGTAAGCCTGGTGTTCGAGACAGGAGTGCTGCTGTGGGGCAGGGTGAGCTCCCATCCTTTGCTCCAGCTGGGGACATGAATGTCGCCTGGGCAACGGCAATGTCACCAGCTCATCCTTTCAAACGCAAAAGAGGATATTGCCATGATGATGTTAAAGGGGAAGTAGAGAGCTCCTTCTTTATGTGAAAAACACTAGGCCTCTGATCCTAGAAAGCCCCTCTTGGAAGGGTCACTGCAACCAAGTTTGCACAACTTATTTTGGCAAGATCAGATGCAGCATCTCACCAGGTAAACCAGCACACACATGTGCTCCTTGGGCAGCCAATGGAAGAGGTCTGCAGGGTTGCTGGGCAGGATCTCATCATCATGAAGAGTTGAGATGGTCTGGATGCACTGCTGCAGCTGCTTTAGACATGGCTTGACACTCTTCACCTGAGGAAAAGAGAAGCTGCCTCAACAAAGTCAAAACCAAACATGAGGCCCAAATCAAAGGCACCCCACGTCCTAGGTCAACCACCCATTATCTTGATGGCTGTTGTCCTCTTCTCAGTTCATCTTCTCTAAAGATGGAACATTAAATATCTCTGAAGGTTCCTGTCAAGCTTACGTTTTTATCTTCTTCCACTCATTGTTCCTTCATATATTTGCTCTGCAGTTCTATTCTGGAGTAGTCTTTGAGTTATGACTTGTCGTTTTACAACTGTTCAGTGTTACGATGCTTTGTGGCCCATAAAGTACCTCCAACCCTCGTAAAATAGCAATAAACTTAGACTTCTATCCTCACTTCACAGTGCTTCTATAGCCCTCTCTTAAGCAGTTTACAGAGTCAGCCTATTGCCCCCAACAATACAGATCCTCATTTTACCCACCTCAGAAGGATGGAAGGCTGAGTCAACCTTGAGCCTGGTGGGATTCGAACTGCCAAACTGCTGGCAGCAGGTGATCGGAAGTAGCCTGCAGTACTGCATTCTAACCACTGTGCCACTGCAGCTCAGGTGTCCCCATAGCAATCAAGTGATCGCATTTTGAGTGCTTGGCAACCCGCTTACCTTTATGACCGGATGTATCTTCCTGTGGTCACAAGATACCAATTTGGGATTTATTTATTTATTTATTGCTGTTTTCCGGCGAAAAACACTCACTAGGAATAATGGGTTCACTTAACAACCATACCTTTGATTTGTTTAGTGATGGCCGTGAAAAAGGTCAAAGATTTAAAAAGGTCTAGTCACATTGGTGCCTCGATTTACAATTACAAGTAACAACCAGACTTCTGGGCCTGATAGTGGTTGTGACTCATTTCCTTCATGAGGTCACGTTACAACCACCTCAAAAAGATCCTAAAGCTGGATCGATCGCATGGGGGATCCACTCTGCACCTATCGCGGACTTAGGAGTGTAAAGGAGAGGCTTTTAAGTCATAATGAAGCTCCTGTTCTTATATTGCGAGCAACCACATTGTTCTGTACTAGGCTTTCTCGAAAAGCACTAAGCAGGCTCTTTGTCCCGACCAAACACCTTTTATTAAACAAATGTGAATTTCTTGCATTCACATTCAGCTAACGGCCTGGCAAACAGTCTTTCAAGGGTATAATTAGGAGCTCAAACCTTATCTAACTTGGAAAGCTGCCCAATAAATATTTTCCAAACACAGTGCTGACAAGGAAGGACTCAGCACTGAGTCTCTGCGATGCACAGACAGATCTTCACAATGATGGAACAAACGAACGAATTGTTTTCTGCAAAAGCCCCTTCCTCTTTTAATCCTTATGGGAGGGGCCATACATTGTCCACCTGTGGCCTTACTTCCACGTGGACCCTGAGTTTGTAATTGTTCTTTCCTTTTGACAGCTCTGCGCATGCGCAGGCTGGGAACCGGTTCCAGCTGCTCCCCCGCCTCACTGCTGTCTGAGCCCGAAGGCAACTGAAGACTGCCAGCCTGCCCTGGCCCCATCTCGGCTTCTGACACAGAGCCCTCGTCCGAGCCTTCCTCAGCCTCCAGGACTGGCTCAGGTTCCTCCCCAACCTCCTCACTGTCCGACTCTGCTGCCAACTCCGCCAGCCGCCAGCAGGCCACAATACACTTTTTGTCATAAAAGGTCACTGGAACTGCTTCAACTCACCTGACCAGCGTCCAGGTAATGCGTCACCTGCAGTACCAAGAAGAAGACGCGCAATGACTCTTTCTGGATGGGATTCCCCTGCCAGTTCTCAACGATCTGCCCACAAAGCGTAAGCAGCGGGTGCACCTCCTGCAGTTTCCTCTCCATGAGGAGCAGCTAGGAAGAAGGAAGGGAGGAGAAAAGAAATGAGGAAAAGTTTCAGAACGCTTAATAAGCGCCTCTTCCTTAGTCTTGGATTGATTTCCTCAAATAAAGAAGGAAAACAAAAAACAGTACGGTAATCCTCGACTTATGTCCGAAATTTCTGTTGCTAAGCGAGAGCACTGTTATATTTGTTTTACCCCATTTTGCAACCTTTCTCACCACGTACTTGTTAAGTGAATCATAACAGTTGTCAGGTTAGTAACATGGTCGTTAAGTGAGTCTGGCTTCCCCGTTGACTTTGCTTGTCCTAAGTTCATGAAAGTAACATGGTCGTTAAGTGAGTCTGGCTTCCCCGTTGACTTTGCTTGTCCTAAGTTCATGAAAGACGATTACATGACCCCAGGACTTTGCAGCTGTCAAAAATGTGAATCAGCCGCCAACCACCCGAATTTAGATCGTGTGACCATGGGGATGCTGCAACAGTTGTCGAGTTGTGAGAAATGGTCCTTAATCACTTTTTTCAGAGCCATTGTAACTCTGAATGGTCACTAAGCAAATGGCTGTAAGTTGAGGACGACCTGTATTAAGTGTGGGAAGGAGAGTTATCTCTAAGTCCTCAGTTCTGTGATTAATTTTGCTTCTCATCATTTCAACATAATCCCAAAGAACATACAAAAAAACGACATCAAAAATAAGGTAGCAAATTACAACAGGAATAAGTAAAAATTCAACTACAAGTTCAAAGGAGGTGTTTTCTCTCAGTGGTTTTTCTGTATGTACTGCGTTTCCCTGAAAATAACACCCTGTCTTATTATTTTTGCCATCAAAGAAGGCACCAGGTCTTATTTTCAGGGGATGCCATCCACCGAATAACCTCACATGTGTGCGTCGCTCCCGGCCTCCTTTTCACTGTCAGAGGCCTTCAGGAACTACTACTTCTGCGGCCAGCAAGGCTTTCCTGAAGACCTCTGCAGCCAATAACAGAACTCCAGATTGACCCAGAGCTTTGTTATCAGCTACAGAGGCCTTCAGGAAAGCCTTGCCAGCCTTGTGGGCTGCAGAAGAAATAGGCCGGCAAGGCAGGAATCAGGGTGTGCAAGACCTGGCTACAACTATCCAAAGGTAAGTAGTAGGGCAGCTCCACCCCTCCCATCCCCACCCTAGCTTAATTTTGACCTGTGCAGGGTAGGTCGTATTTTCGGGGAAACAGGGTACACCAACTTACAATTTATACCTTCCATGCCAATCGCTTGGAATACATACAGTGGTATTATGCAAATTTCAGAGTTTTAAATGACACTTTCTAACACTGATTCAATCCTTGGAGGTCTATCTCTAGTTATTCTCAGGATCATTTGAGATGTGAAAAGACAATCTACACATTTTGTTGGGGCTCCCAGAGATTTCTCTGACTGCACTGTTAAAAACACACAGCAGTTGCTCCAAACCAGCTGTGTGACTTCCTATCATTCTGAAGCAGAATGTATATGAACTGTCTGAAAATTTTAAAGATGTCCCCTCCAAAAAAAACAAATATTTTCAAAGTTATATGCACAGTGTCAGCTCCCGATCCATCTTGATTCACAGATTTAGGGCTGCCACAGAGGGGGAGAGGCATGCTATGGGAACGGGAGAGAAGTGAGAAGGACGATAGCCACAACAACATTCTTTCGCTAGAGCTCAAGGCCGAGTGGCTGGAATTTGGAGGGGAGTGGCTGGACTTGGCGGGAGTTCAGAATTGAGGTGGATTGGAGAGAGTGACTTGAGGGTCATCAATAGGGGCAGGGTGTAAGTTTTAGGGTAGAGGGGGAAAAACATAGGAATTCGGGTTTTCCCCAGATGTGCCAACATGAATACATTCTTACTTGGATGGAATTAGTCCCGGAGTGCTGAATTCGGAATAGAGAGTTTGGTTGGAATGCTGACACACAGTGGAGTCCCACACATTTTATCCCATTACTTCACCTACCAGTCATAGGTTTTCTGAAGCAATTAAATGCAGCCCAAAACTGCCCACCCTTTGTTTAACAGATGCAAACCTAATTAATCCACACAATATAAAACGTATTTGCTAAATTAATCTGAGATCAGCTTAGTCTAGCATATATATACATATATATACATATATATACATAAATGTATGTGTGTATGTGTGTATGTATATTTGTATGCATGTATGGCATTCAGCTTTGTTTGGGTATTTTCCCACGTCATGGTAGTTGTGCGTTTAAAGTTGTAGCAACGTTTCGGCAGAATCTCATCTGCCATCATCGGGCTTCTGTATACATATATATATATATAAATATATATATATATATATATATATATATTTGTTGTTTTCTGAGGTTCTCGCGGGTATTCGTATGTGGATCTTTGGTTGTTCGGATTTTCTCCTGCGTAAGATTCGAAGTATCTAGGCAACGTTTCGATGAAGTCTCATTCATCATCTTCAGGCTTCTGTCTTCGACTCTTGCTTCTCAGAGTGATGTGAGATTGCAGCTGCTTCTTCCTTTTAACTGCTAGTGGGGGTGGGACTTGATTGGGTGGGGGCTTGGCTGTGTTCTGATTGGGTGGGGGTGTGTTCTCATTGGTAGGGGGTTTGGCTGTGTTCTGATTGGTTGGGGGGTTAGCCGTGTTCTGATTGGTTGGAGGCGTGTTCTGTTCAGGTGGGGGCTTGGTTGTGCTCAGGTTAGTCTTAGTTGCTGGGGGATTTGAGCTGGTGAGTTGTGATCTAGCTGTTTGGCTTCTAGTTCGTGGTCCTGCTGCATCTTCATAGTGGGTGTCGGTTTGCTTCATGTATGGCTCGGAGGGGTTTGAAGTGGGTAGTGATGCAGCTGCAGTGCAGCTTCTGGTCCATGGTCGT